GAAAACTCAAGTGCAATTAATCCTTAATAGTACGAGGTCTCATGGGATTACTTGTTTATCAATAAAGGGCAAAATTTATACGAAGGAAAATCACGCGCGCAGTCTATTTTTATCTAGGAAGCCTGTTTAGCGCTACGTTCAATTCAAGTTCAATTAATTCGTCGTCCGCTTCAATAAAACGACAAGCCATTGTTGCAACAAAAACTTGATAACAAATTTCAAGATAACGAACGGTTGCTATGCAACGGATTAGCCAATCATTAACAGGTAATCATGCACTCTCTTGATTACTAAAAATGCCCTCGATTAAGAAAAAAATGCCCTCTCTCTCAACCAATCAGCGCTCAGTAATTTTGCCCTTTATTGATAAGCGATGAAATCGATCGTAATATAATTTCAAGCTTTCATAAAGTCTTCTCACTTTGCGCGCGAGTTGGTTGGTGTGATGTCTACAGATTTCACCAACGTAATAAAAGTAGATGAAAATGTAGATGTAAACGAGATATCACTATTAAATACATAACACGCGCAACATTTGAGAAACAATTGACAGCTTTCCACGTGGTCCGTATTATCATCTTTTTAAGCGGTATGTGTTTATTTTGTTGACAAAATTGCGAACCGAGACCAGAACTGTTCTTTCGACTTGATATGTTTTCGACGTTAATAGATCACATCATATTAACTTACCTCCGTAAATCATTCATTCTAGATAACAAAATCAAATAAACATGCCAACGATGGTATCTGAATTCGTCCTTAGCCAAACACAAATGACTCCACAAGATCACTTTCTCCAAGCATCGACATCATACAAAAAAAACGTCCATAGTTAATTTTAATCAGAAATTCATCTAGAGATAGCACCGAGCAAGCCAATCCAGAAAAATATAATCGGGACACTCAACAAATCACGAATCTTGTAACACAGCCGGCTTGCCGTTAAAGAACTGCTAAAATCAAAATGTTTGGTGCTACTCATCCATACCTCAAGCAATGTTTGATTCAAAATTTTTCCACTCACTCTCGTCGTGAAGGAACAATAACCATAATCGTGCTACAATGTACAGAACTCCATTTTTTCTTGAACAACTATCCACCATTTTCACGGCATGAGTAACACGTTCACTGTAGGTAATCTGATATCTTTCATCTGTCCAGTAGTGTCGCATTTCTCATAAAGCGCGGTAAAATACACGTTAAAAACACAGAAAAGCTAACATTTCTCATTCTAAAAGATGAATCCATTTTACGAACCGCTCTCTCCGAATCCCCTCTTACTTCGTTGAAATTTGAATACCTCTCAAACCAAAGAACGAAAACGACGCTCTGATTGGTGCGAGATACATACCCTAATGCGGCGATCTGATTGGTGCGAGGTACATACCCTAAACAATCTGATTGGTGCGAGTAACATACCACTCTCTATACGCTAACATAGACGTTTTTTTTGTTATTAAAAAAAATAACTCAAAAATGTTTTCAGTAAATTACGGCTTTCGTTTCATCTTGTTTTACTGGCGATGTGCCATCTTGAATTTTCAGTTTCACGCTGACACGATATGTGGAAAGTGGTTAATTCTAATTCTCGTTTTTCTTAATGATTTTTGTTGGCAGCTCTGACCAGTCAAGACGTCATAAAATACAGCGTACAGTGCCTTTACGCTTTCATCGCGGAGAATTAACACGATGAAGATGCGGCGGCCGTACAGTTTTGGTAAGACAATTATATCTCGGTAATTTGTTCGAATTGTGATTACAACACCGTATCGCTTTGGAAGATGTTGTTCATATGAAGGTGAAATAGTAAGCAGTACACTTTTAGAGGTGTTTGGTCAAGACTGTTTCATTACACGTGCAGCGTATCAGCTTTCTACGACCCGGAAGGACCTCCTCCGATCCGAGTGTGGATGTATGATCGGTGATATTGCTGTGGAAGACATTTTTCACACAAAGGAAGGATGGCTACCAGTACACTGATAGAGGTTTTTGGTCAGATCGTGTATCGCCTCACGCGCAGCGTTACAGAACACTACAACCCAGAAGAACCTGAATTCACGACAGAGTCTTTTGGCTACGATCCACTGCTAAGCACAGGTAGAGAATGGTATAAAGAGCCTGTTGATGAACTGATATACCAAGAGTACAGCGACAGAGAGGCCACAAACTCGAACTTTTTCGCACATAACATTAATGTCCAGGTTATAAACGCGTTCTTACCAGAAGACAGTGGGGAGACAAGGGTAGATCAGAACGTTAAGGAGGAAGGAATGGCTTGGAAACGTCTTCGTCCATCCTTTCCACAGACAGTTTGTAAATCGATGTGCTTTGGAGCGTTGATTTCGTTTCTTGCAGCTATGTTAATTGCCATGGTTTACCTACAAATCTCCTTTGTCAGTTATAAAACAATTCTTCAATGTCAGGATTACAACATCTCGTCAATTCCAATTCGCGTGCAATGGATCAAAACGATTTCTGATGCGATATCCGTTAGTTTCTACTACTTCTGGATCTTTGTTACACTCCTGTTTCTTTTTCGTCCGTATCAGCTTAAAGGAATAAAGAAAAAGCTGATTCTGGTAAGCTTTGTAGCGTATTGTTTGGACATTAGTTATCGCTTTTCTCTTCAAGCTATTGGAAAGCCTTATTATGCGTCAGCCACTGAATTGCAAATTCCAATATATGCGTGTTGCATCACCAGTATATGTTTGCAATTATATATTGTCGGGAGGCAGTTCTGCCCGCGTCCAAGACTGACAGGTTTATTGTGTAAAATGATAGTGCCATTTTGCTTGCCCCTTATTTCTGGAATGTTTTTTTCGGATATTCTTTATAGAACGTATCTCAAACAAAAAGACACAGGCAGACTGATAATTGCATTATTTTCACCCCTCTTGGGGGTCGCCTTAAAGGTAATATCAAGAATCTGTGTTCAACGATTATGGAACATTACTCATCCAGGATACTCTTATGTGTTATTGGCGCCTCTCTACTACTGCTCAGCGATTATCTTTCGAGCTTTACAAGCAGATCTGGACCATCTCCGGACTATCGCCATTCTTGGAGTTATTCACGGAGTTGCAGAAGTCATTGAAAGAAGCATCATGGCGTTGGTTGATCATGTTCTCCATGTGTTGTGGAAAAAGAAATTGGCTCCTTGGGGGAGTTTTCGCACACCTCGTCGCGAACGACTCATGGCTGATATCATCATCTTGAGTATGTTGTCTGAATCTGTTGCTGTGGTGTATGTAAACGGACTAAGATACTTGCATGATTTTGTATTCGTTGGAAATAACTCTATAATTTGGTTGCTAAAGACCTTCGCAGTTCACACTTCAGTTCAACTGGTAATTGAGTGGTTTTTCACCAGTGTGTCTCTTGCGATCGAGACTCGTTATCAGAATGTGGCTGTGATGGCTGTTTGGCGAAGAAAATGGAAAAGACACATATTGTTAGCGCTTGTTAATACATTTCCAATCGCTGTATGGAATAGCTTTTGTCTCTTAGTGTTATTTCGTGCTCGTTATAAAGAAGTCCTTAACCAGCCCTGTAAGATGCCGTTTACTTGAAAACTTTCTCGTATTAATCTTGCTTTTGTTCACGACTTTATAACTTCCGTCTATTAGGATTGATCAAATTTATGTGAGGTGTTACGAAATGCTCATGTCAAGTTTTTCTGACAATCTGGTCATTCTTTAATATCTTGGTGTAATTAAAATGTTAAATTATGTCACTGAATTTTCGGTCTACGCAGAATTTTTATAAACCTGAGATTGTTAGGGTTCAAAATTGCTTTATGTGCATAGTTATACCGAATCTTTGGTTCATTATAAAGGTCAGTCCTGTGATTTTTACCAGACACATGCTAACTTCAGAAGTTTTCACACTTTTTTTGCAATTTCTTAGAGTTGTTGTTTTTAGGTTTTATCCACACAGAACTATGAAATGTGTAATATTGTAGAAAGTAGATTAGATATTTTTCTCTGCTATATTGAAATCCGCTCAGAGGCCTGCAATGAGCGCAACATGAATTGTATATATAAGTATATTTTGGTTTGCATTTGTTTTGAGTGATCGGTTAAGCATGAAAAAGATAAAAAGATTCGCCAGAGGGAATGTGCAAAGTAAATCACTTATTACGTTAATGTGCTTAACGCGCCCAGAGAGCAGTTAAGTCGCACCCTTCATGCTCATCAATTTAAGATGTTTGCGTTCTTTATATTGTTTTATCAAGTGGGTACTTTGTATCCTTAGTTTTTGCAATCATACCGTTTAAATAAACATACATTACACTCCGAGCAACTGCCAGTTTCGTCACTGGCAAATATGCAGACTTGTCGGATATTTTGAAATTGGGCTGGCTGCCTGTCAAAAATGACATGAACTAGAACTTGTGCAAACTCGCTTCCATTTTTTTTTTTTCACCAGCGAAAGCGGAAATAAACTTACAAGAATAATCAGCCATATTTAGTAAGAAAGCTGATCGTCGCTTTTAATGCCATAGCTAGTATTTGCATATAATTATATCAGTTAGCCATGGTCACCCTTTAAATATTTAAGGTAATCCTTAGATAGAAGCCTTAAATAATTTTTATATGCAAAATGCAGTTTGCAGTATTAGCAATTTTGTAATAATGATAGATTTTTAATTTAACTAGTCAGTAGTTTGTAGCATAGAAGAGCCGCCCCTCCGATGGATACGCTAATAAACCATTATTATTATTATTATTATTTTTACTATCATTATTAATAATGAAAGTTCTTCTGGTTCTGCGGAAAGGAGAGACCGCTAGGTCCAAGTGGGATTATGTTTCTATCAAAGTATATCTTTTTCACCAAACTATTTTGACAATAACTATCTTCAACAGTGTTTGAAATTTTGGTAAACTCCGTTTTGAAACTGATATGAAAATCGTTTAAAGTTATGCACTGCGTTAAGGAGCTTTGGTGCCGAACCAAACACGGGGCTGTCCCTTTTTTTAAGACTTCTGAACAGTTAATTATTCTTTAAGAGGGTTTCTTAAAGGTTGCTTAGTATTTCAGTTCAAGTTTTGCGCTGGTAATTTGTATTTTTCTGTATAATAAATTTTTGATTTTTCAATGAGAATAAATCGATATATCTGTGAGTTAGAGGTGGAGAATTTCAGACTTGGCAATCCAGACCTACACAATAAGTGGCCACTCACCATTTGTAATCTTGAAGAAAGATAATTCCTCCAGCTAGAGAGAGACCGTCGCAAACAAGCATGTCCTCCGATTCAGCGACTTAACAGCGAAACCAATTAATATCAAATATCACAGAAATTCATACCAGCACATAAACCTCTAATTTGCAATCCCATAAATTAAATTTCATTTGTACCGGCGTTTTTTCCTGAAAAGAAAATGTAATTCTCGGTTGTTAAAAAAGGGTACAGCCACCAGAATGGTTGGGGTTCAAGTTGTGATTTTACCACAGCAAAATTTGAACAGTGCCACTGTCATCTATTGCACCGTGTGATACAAAGTCAAATCTCCGATGACACTGAAGAATCGCTACTTTCAAGCGGTAACTGAATTATTTTTGGTTAAAATTTTCAATTTCGGTCGCGTGTACAGTTGTACGTGAGAGTATGCTGTTAAATCACGGAAAATTAGAAAAATGTGCTAATTCGATTTGAGGTTAAAAATTTAATTAAGGAGAAAAGTAATCCCGTTGCATTTGGGAGAATCAAACATAACTTCAACCAAGCAACGTAAATGGAATGCAACTACTACCGTTATGACGTCATAAAATGTGTGGTAGATCCTTAATGAACAACCTAATTTCTTCATGAATGTGGGACCCTCCAGAGTTCTCAGCTTATAATTCAAACTATTGTTACACGCTGTTTTTGATCATATTTCGAGATTGTTATCAACAATTTGTCCTCGCTAGTTAGGAGATTTAACATCTACCAGCACTTAACAACTAATTCAAACCCGTTTGTTCTGATCAGTCATCACCTTTCTACGCTTCAATTCTTGTCTAAGTCGCTTTATCGTTTTAAACGAGAAAATCGATTGTTCCACGAGCCCGTTTGTTTTTCTTTGAGGTAAGACAACACCTTAAACATTCGTAGAGGGCAGATCGGAAATCGCGCTTTCCCAGAACCAAAATGACTGGGTTGATCGCGGAGGCAGTGAATCTTGTGTAGTAAAACATGAAATACACTGCCCCAAAAGGTAATGACTCCAGAGTTTCACCGTCCTCCATAAGTTCCAGGATGAAGTATGGCGCCCAACAAATGAGGAACACGGCTAACATGCTTGCAAACACCACAGCGACTTTCCACTTCAATGCAACATTAGGGAACGTTTGGTTTTGGTTGTCGTCAAGAGAGCGGACCTTCCGTAGCTGTGCCTGTTTCTCCACTCTGTACAAGCGAACAAGAGCAAAAATACGTGTGTAGCAATAAACCATCGTAACCAACGGTACAGCGAGGAAGAGGATCATCACAACGATGGAGTAAATTCGGTGAACTCGAAGCTTGTGCTCATAATAATTGTCGTCCGGATAGATGATCCAAGACAGCTGAATAAGAGACACAAAGGCAGCACAGACCCAACAGGCGCATACCAGACAGACAGAAACTCTTTGCCTTGAGAGGGAATCATATCTTAAAGCGTGAACCACTGTGGCAAACAGATGCAACGTCAAAATAGTCAAATGCAGAACTGTAGAGACGGATACAAACCTCCAGAAGGCAGCGCTAGAGAGGCACCACGATGGAGTGTGAGTGACATTACAGGCCAGGTACAAAGGTATCCCTACCGCACCAGCCAAAAAATCACTCACTGCTAAGCTTGCTGATATACCATTGCTCACAGTTTGGAGTTTCTTTCTACGAAGAATCAGGATCAGAGCGGTGGCATTGGCGATGACTATCAATACTGCAACAATGACAGGATAGATATCAAAGTGGACAGAAAATCCGTTCATCAATTCTTCTTCCATCGTCTCGTTGCCATCATCTTTGAACTCCAAATCGCTCGCCATCGAATTATTCTGTGCTTTGTTTTCACTGTTTCGAGGGCGCTATTTATCACGTCAAGTACCAAGATATTTATGTTATGTTATCTCGTTGCTAAGCATTAATCTTACTTCACAGATTAGTTGACTTGTCCTAAGTAGATTAGGTGCGAGTGCTGTATCTCCTTGGCTGGTGTCAAAACCAAACAAGTTCTTTACTTTACAGATCTAATCACGCTCTCTTCAGCACTTCAGACAATTTTCCTAGGGTCAATCAGTTAATATCTTAAATGTTGATGTGCCCTCTCGGCTTGGTCTAACAATAAGTATGCATCAAACTTTGTTTCCCTTTTCGAAATCTTCATGTAAGACGTAAATCTCATGCAATTTGTTTAAGCAAACTCAAACATTTATTAAGTCAAGAAGTATCAGAGGCTAGTCTGGGATACAAACGTTGTCAATAAACCCTTCTGGTGGGTATGATTCGCGTCTGTGTTTATAAACAATAATTGGTAATGCTTTTAAGGGGTTTGTCTCAGGTATTTGAGCATATCAAAGATAACCTAGCCTGCTTGTATAGGTAGATCTAAGCCCTTAGCAGCATATTATAATACCAATATGATCTTCTCATCCCACGGTGGATCCGTTATCACTAGACATTCAGTCTGTGTATTAATTGACAGACGTAATTTATTGCTGATTCTTCATAGTTCCTTGACAGTTTAATGGGATCAAAATCGAGTATCAGCTGGCCTTATTAGGATCTGTTTGTCGAATGTTCTTCTTTTTCTCAGGGTTGAGTTTACGTTTCTTGAAGGCGACTTCGTTTCCGTCGCCAACTGAACGGAAAGTAATTTTTGGAGTTGATCGTTCTTTGAATTTTACTACGGTCGGGTTTGGTTCGATTGTTGTGGTTTGTTGAGTCTCGCTTTCGCTGGCAGAAGCAATCTTCGCCCTGCAAAGAGAAGGAATTCTTCTGCTTCCATATATATCATTGAATACACATTGATAACTGTCACATTTAGGACTTAAACAGATCAGTATTTGAAAGAGCTTCATAGAATCAATGAGGACTAAAGGAAGATGAATATTAAGCGTCACTCGTATTTCAGAAGGTAATTTGGAGCCTATTCTGGAGAGGCGAGTGAACAATTCCAATTGGTTTCATTTCTGAATCTGTTTGGCTTTAGAGTTGGAGCCCAGACTCCCTCTTTTTACAACTCCTACAGCCTCAAAATTAGAGTCTAGCTATCCACTGTCACAAGCTATCGCAAAGATGACACAATGAAGAATGGCTGACCAACATAACACTTACGTTTGGGGAGGAGGTTCAAATGTCTGGACAGTTGTCCATTGTCCATATGGAGAGTTCTTTACTTGTTTCTTTTCCTCTCTCTGAACTTGATTCTCTTCTATTTTCTGTGTGGAAAAAGGCAAATTTCGAAAATAATCTCAGAACATGGTATAATTAAGGGAAAGATATCAGTGAGTAAAGCAAAAGTCACCATAAGACTTGCCCACAATTAAAAGAAATGATTGATAGTTTGATTTGCGGTTGATAACAAACAAGGCAATGATCCTTGCAATTGAAGTGCAATTAAAGAAATGGCATCAAAAAATACAGATTTTAATGTGATTTGAACACACACCTCCCAGACACTAATTGAGTGCCACCACCAACTAAGCCAAAATGGTATCTTTTGGGAGTAAGGATAATTTTAGATGGCTCTTTGCTTGCGTAAAGGGACCTGCTCACAGTTAAATAAAATAAATCATATTTGGAACTGTGGATGATATCGAGGAACAATGTGTTATAAACCTGATCACATTAAATAATTATTTGCCAAGGACAAAGTGAGTATTGTTGACTGATTCCAAAGAAGGTATAGTGATTTTGTTAGAAATTCACTGAGCCTGGAGAAGGAAATAATTTCAAGAACTATCACTCACTCACAGCTGATCATCAAAGCAATTGCATTTCCTTCAGTCAAGTCAGCAACATTGGACATAATGTGCAGAGGCCATTTTGAAAATAAGTGCTTCAGTATTTATAATAATCACCTCAGATGGGGAGGTTATGGTAAGATATTACATAATCCTTGACCAATGGGAAAGTGTCTTGTTTTTATAACCACCTCTGCCATTTAAATAAATTCATGTAGTGATAGCATTGTCAAAACTGAAACACAATTAAGTTTAATTCTCAATTTATTTGATGAGAAATCATGGATGGTTAGTGGAAATTACAGTATGTAGTTTCTGAGCCGGAAAATGGATTTGTTTAAGGAGTCAATTATGGCTGAACAGACAAGCAGAGTGTTAATTTGCTTTCAACCAACTACATGCATATTATTCTGGACAGTGTTTAGTACAATACCTACATTTTGAGAGTTTGTCTGATCCTCTTTGCTCGGTGCTTTATCTTCCTTGGCATTTCTTGGGCGGATATAGGAGATACATGTATGATAATGACAATTAATAGCAAAAAATGATTAACACATTTCTAACTTCATACAGAAGTCTATCACCAAGTCAGATAGAAAAAAATGATCATTTATAAGTACAAAAGTTTATTAATTAGCTATCGTACCTCATGTCCTGATTTGATGGAGTCGATAAGCAACTGGGGGATTCCCACTGAGATGCTGAGGATCAAAATCAAGCAATACATTCAGTCAATCAGTCACAATCAGGAAGTCAATCATTCAATCTGTCAATCAGTCAGTCCATCAATCAATCTGTCAATCAACCAGTCAGTCCATCAATCAATCTGTCAATCAACCAGTCAGTCCATCAATCAATCTGTCAATCAACCATTCAATCAGTCATTCCATCAATCCATCAATCAAACAATCAGTCAACCAATCACTCCAAAACTTAAGGAATCATTCTTGTGGTCAATGAATCATGAATTGTAAAATTAAGAAATCAATCCTATCAATAATAAATCCATAAATTTAGTAGTCATTTTATCTCAACATTTACGGTTTGCACTATATATTTCTGAACCCATCAACCAGTTTTTGCCAACTTGAACTGATCATTGTTGGGCTTTGACACTACATTTAAGTATTGTTTGATACATCTAGCACCTTCTTAAAAAAAGACAATTCTTAATATGGATTGTTCACCTTGTGTAGCTGTGTTGTAATAATAGTAATAGCCTTCTGGTGCTTGAGCAATGTTCCAACCATGGTTGCAATGCATAGTGGGTGTTTGTCCCTCATAAGAAATGACACATCCTATAAACAGACAATTGAGGCCTATAGTTATGTTACTACACCTTTCTCAACAATCTTATAAAAAAGTTGTTCATCAAGAAACAATCCCTCACTAAAAAAAACCTCAGCTTTTGTAAATCTATGGCCCATCCTGATGGGACATTACACTTGGGTTTCTGAGGAGAGTGTTGCACATGGGTTCTTACCAACAGAGCTTTCACCTTTGGAACAAGTTTCATTTGCTTGTGTTTTTTGTGACTCTGTGTTCGATTCAGGCTTTGATTTTGATGGCTCAATGTTTAAGTCTTTCTCATACGCCTTCAGTGCTGCCTATTGGAGATAACATGACATAATTGAAATCTAAAACAACACTAGTTTAACAGCCTCAAAGATGGCAATCATGCAGTAGGAAATACATTTCCAAGTACTGTCTACAGATTGGATGGTAAGTGAAGATTGAAACAGGACACTTTTTATAATCAATGGATTAATACCTCTATTTATGTTGTTTAAGCACATCCTTGTTTTTAGCATGAAAACCAGCCTTTACAGCTATTTAAGCTCTGTGGGAGCAATTTTTCAGTCAAGAAATCTTAACAATTAATATGTGCAGTGAGATCAAAGGAAATTGGAAATAAGAAGATGTGATTCAAGTATTCTGATCAAGTAATTGTCTTAAGGTCTGGTACATATAAGCTACTTTGCAGGAATTCAGAGCATATCTATGTTACATACTGCTTCAATGGCTTCTAAATCCATCAGTAGTTGTTTCTGGGCCTGAGAGGTTTCTTTGCCTTTCTTCTGAACCTGGTGAGCAGAGCAAAGAAAAGTCCAACAGCAGCTCTGTGTTCTAATCAGCTCTTTCATATGAAATATTGGCAGGATTTAAGGCAAGGAAGTTTCAAAAACAAAGACAAGCAACAACAAACAGTATACCTGAAGAAGGAAGAGATTAACCCTTCCATTTCTTCCTGATAGTGGACTGCTTTTAGCAAGGAGGAATTTTAATGAGTGCACAAGTTTTTATACCTCAGTGTTTGTCACTTGAGCATTTCTATATAAGTAAATAGGCTTTCAAAGAGTACAAGAACAAAGATTTATCCTCAGGAGATTCAGAGGGTAAAATCATGGAAACAAACACACAACATCTCCCTTACCTCTTGAATTCTTTTCTGTACATTTTCTTTGTGTTTCTTACCCCTCTCATGAAACTCTATACTCTACAAATTTCCAAAGAGAAGAAACTTTCTTTCAGCTCTCAGCCTCACAGAGAAGAGGACAAGAAAACAGAACCTATTGTGTGGGCACCCCTCTATGACAATTTTTTAATACAAGACAAGTGTAAAAAAACACTTTTTTTAAACTAGAAAGCATCCGTTGTCAGTCGTAATCTGACGAAACAAATTTAAACACTGGTTACGAAGGTAGAATAAAACTGTATATGCCTTTTTAGGGCATTGATGTTGATCCTGACGTTGTGAAGTCAAATAATTGAGATATAGAAGTTAACATCACTTTCACACAGGCTATACAGACTTTTTCATGGGTCTCATCAAACAATTCCATGTATAATCAGGACGACTGTAATGTTCCTTTTCTTTTATTCACCAAGACTACGATTTAAACAAATGATTCTTCAAGCTTTTAATTAGTCGTATACTAAATCTTACTGCTTTGTTGTCAGTGATCCAGCACTTGCAAAACTCGCACATTTTTTTGGGTTGCGACTTCCAGTACTCTGCCCTAAAGAGAAACACAAATTTTGAAGATATTACCCCATTAGCTCTTAACTTAAATAACTTCACTAGCTTACATCTGGAATAAAATTCCCTCAAGTTATGGTCCACCAAACCACAGTTAAGATGGTGCCATTGAGCTGTCTTGGTATATACTTCATATAAAAACAGTGACTGAAAATATTGTTCGTATATGCTACAGTCAATTATGACCACTAATGACCAATCAACACAGTCTAGAGGAAGTCTATAGCAGGTACAGCCATCCACACTGCAGATAGCTGAATGACTTGAATATACTACAGACAGCGTAGATACTATTATGTACTGTAAAAAATCGTGAATACTCTTATCTGCTGTAGACATTTTAGATAGCTGTATCTTATCTAGGTGGTGTGGACAGCTTTATACACCGAGGTACATCTTACCCAGTGTCCGATAGTTGTACGAATTGTTTACGATTTAGATTACTAAACCAAAGACGTCTCTACGAAACCGATTCGTGAGACTTATTGCTATGATTCCGATCGTCGTGAAAATAAGAACAGGCGTAATATCTTTGCTGCTTTTCAGACGAACGGAGGCAGATGCGAGGAACATTCTGTGAATAAATAAACGGAGAAACGACTTGCCTATTTCCCCATTTTTTTTTACAACAGAAAGAAAAACAGTATTAAAGTTCACGTGGCAGAAAAATATTTTATTCACCTATCTTAAACTACTGTCATAAACTGAATTTACATACACCCCGCGCAAGATTTTTGACATCTATTCATGAATCTATTGATTCTTTGAAAGAAAGCGAATCTATAATTGTAAAGCAATATTCTAAGCTCAAAGGAGTAGTTTAACCAGCCCGGGGCTGAACTTAGCTAAGCTGATACAAACAGAAAAGAAACACACTTAAGATCAAGTTAGTATCACCCCCTTTCCAGTAGGATTTAAATTTTTCAAAATGGAAGATCTCGATGTAGTTGTCACACAACTTCTGTTTTATAAACAATGACAAATGACCCCTACTGACAGTTTGATTCTTCTGTTAAATACCTTAAGCAAACATTCAATGCACGAAAAATAACATGCAAACTTTAAGTTTTTGGGCTTAAATTATCTCAGAGGTCACAATAAGAGAGGCATATGAAGCGCAAACTTGAACTAAACACCAAATCCCACCGCCATCGAATGGAGCCCAAACTAAGCATCATCGCTTCCTTGATCCTTTTATTGTTATTTTTAAACCAGTCACAATTGATAATCGCGAAGAGTCCGTCTCGTAAGACACAGCCAACCAAGCATGGAGAGGTGTACCGCGCAAAGAGTCAGATCGATTCTCTGATTTACAAATTAACACTCGATTTAAACACCTCTAATGAAAAGAAAAATCTAGCCACCGTCATGCAAAAAGATGCCGAAAAATTATCTCGAATTGCCGAAGATGAAATCGCCTTATTGAAACCAGTGCAGCGTCTTTTGGATCAACTAGTGAAGGGAAATGCTTCAGGTGGAAATCAAAGCTGTTTTTGCGGCATTCGTGGTGGTAAAACAGCAATAAACATTGCGACAAAAAGCTCTCCTCTGCCTAAACATTACACTATAACTGTACAAGGTAAGTAAAAAATTTAATTCCTCAAATCGTGCCATATCATCAAATAAATCATCTGTATTATATCCGTTTAAAAGTTTTGGACTCGGTGATACAACAGTAAGTTGATTGATCCAGAAACTTTCGACATCAGATACCGAAACTTTAATTTATTATTTTTAGTTATTCTAGATACATTATCTCTATAAATTGTTAAATTGCAGCTCTTAAATGTTACCATTCCAAATTTCAGTGTTTTGAATGAACTTCACTTCGAGTTTAGCACGATCTCAAATACGGTCTAGTAGCAATTTTCTAATCACAAAAAAATATTTATCTTTTTTCGATGAAGATTGCTTGAGTATTGAGAGGGTTGAGAATGCTGTTGAGTCCCAAATCATAAAATATTATCATGACTTTTCAGTTAATCCTTTAACTCCCATGAGTGACCAAGACAGAATTTCTCCTAACAATATCAATCAGATAAGGGGTGAGAGTAAAGAAAAATATAAATTTGGGGATAATTAGTTGATCCCATACTAAATTTTTAGAACTAACACTATAAGAATTGTATAGTTGACAGTAAGGAGAATTACAAATTGAATCTGGGAGTTAGAGGGTTAAAGTCAAAATTTCACCTGCACGTGTGGGTTGGTTATGATTTCCGAAATACCAAGGGGTTACGATTTTTAAAAACAATGAAATCCAATAAATTTCTTAAGGGGGTCAGCGGTACGGCTTAAGGACTGATGAATCTTGAAATACCGTTCAAAACTGAAACCATTTTTCGACCTTTCGGTGACTGATTTCTTGTGCAGGTAAATAGGTCAATAGAAAGAAGACCTTATTTTTCATCGAAACCTTCCAAAAGAGAAATATTGTAGAAATTGATTTTGTTGGCATTAAACTTTGGCTTTGTTTTGAATTGGTCTCCAGTTAACCATCGTGCACTGATTGATCGAGGATTAACACGTGACAATGGAGATGACCTACAAGTCTACTACCATGCTAACGGACAGCAACCGGTTCAAATAGACCGTGTTCTTAGTGGTCTGGGGACAAAGTCAGCCACAGTCCACTTTAGACTGCAGGCTCGTATGTCAGCCAACACCATTGATGATATCTCTTACTCTTTAATGCTTGGTGATGCAGTCAGCGGAAGTGTTATGGATAACCCTAGACGGGTGTATGCGTTTTATGATGATTTCACGAGCCCTGCCCTAAAGAAGGACTGGGTGAAGAACAATTACGGCAAATGGACTGTGCAAAATGGACGGTTGCTTGGCGATACCATGGCTATTAAGGGAAGAGATTATATAGAGGTCGCATTGTATCTCAAGTCGGGATTTTCTTGGAGAGATATTGAAGTGGAGCTTGACATGATGGAGACTGGGAGTAGAAAAAGTTGTCCTGGACCACTGTTGCGTGTGGCCAATGTTCAACACAGTAAGACCACAGCGTGGTGGTTTGAGTACTGTCCATATAACACTTTTACCTGTACGTTAAGGCCTCAACGCAATAACAAAGATGGTGGCTGGAAATACAACAGCAAACTGTCCAGAGCCTTTGCGCTTCATACTTGGTTTCATTTTAAGTACCAAGTGCTTGGCGACCGATTCTCACAATGGCAGGATGGTAAACTCGTACATAACAATGTAAAAGTCAGCAATGATTGGAACATACCGGGTGGAACGTTTGGCCTGGGTTGTCACACTTCTCCAAACAACTGTAAAACAATCTATGACAACATTAAAATCAGATTCCTGGTTGCTGGTCCTCCAAATATCACTCTCGGAAACTTTGAACCCATTCGTCTCAGTCAAACCAGTATCCTGGGTACAAAGAACCTTCCCGCTGACTCCTGCAAACAAATTCATGATGCAAGTCTAGCAAATAACAAACCGCGCGTCAAGAATGGAGTTTACTGGATAAAGACTGATCTGCAAGGAAGCTCTTTAGTGCAGACTTACTGTGACATGGCCAATGGAGGCTGGACTCTTGTGGGAAAGATCAGTGGCAAAGTTGGCAACATCTACAAGACTTGGCTTGTGTCTAACCACAACACTGCAGCACTGAAAACTCCAAAAATCACTAAACATAAAGATTTTGGCTGCATGGATGCTCGCAGTCTGGCTGTTGAAGCAGCTTCCACGATTCTGTTGTCCAGTGGCGAGAGGATGGATGGCTTGGGAAGCAAGTGGGTTATGTGGAGACTGCCGGGAAACAGAGAAAAAGAAAAGTTTTGGAATCATGCTATTGGTAAATCCGCTGCGCAGGAGGCCGTTGTGACACCTGTACTGGTGCATGCATGGAATGGAAACAAAAAGGTACCTAAGAACGCCTTTTATTTTAAACTGTTTTAAAGGCGTTTTATTCACAGCAGCTTTGGTCTTGAATTAGACGTGTGTCCTTAGAATACACAAAACACGCATCAGGTGAAGTTTTCTGCCGTAGAACTCTCCAAAAATTTCCACCGTAATCAATATTTCGAGAAAATGGAAGATACGGCAGCAGTTTGTCTCAGTCGTCTAATTCTGTTGAGTTATTAGTTATAAGACTGTGACATAATCCGTTAAGCTCGTCTTTGAAATTGTCATAGGTTTTAACAAAAGGCGTTGGTAAAAGTAGCTTGGAGCCCTAAATTGTACCACAACCTATTCATCATTCTGAACTTTCAATTTTCTTTCTATTGTCCATAGATCTGTTATCAAAACGAGTTTGGGATAATGCCTTATTCTCTTCATGGAGGATCGTATCCCTACACGTCTCTCAAACACGGAGGCGGAATTTTGGCTGTGAACGACTACTGTATGGCTGTGGGTGTCAACACTAAGGGTTCTCTGGCGCACGGCTGGAGAAATAATGGCCATGCTAACGATTGTCCAAGCAGCGTTTCTGATTGGCCCAACAAGTCGTACAAACACGGTTCCCCTTATCTAACGGTGTGGCTCAAGTGACTATGGCAACGACCTCCGTATAGAAGGTCGTGGTGATTTTTTTGCTTCACCGTGGAATCTATATGAGTCTAGTTTATGTTAAAGTTCCTCGGGTCTTTATATGGATCAGATTCAATCAAGTTTCGTAGGGTAATGCACAAAGTATAGAATATAGGTAGGTCTAGCATAAGCACAAGTTACTCGAGACATTTTTAAGGACAAATCCATCAATAGAAGTGGGTTTTATCACTTTTCCGTTTCCAAGTCATTTGACACTTTTGCCGTTGTTTCTCTCGCTGTTGTTTTCTTTTAAAGCTTTGCTTATAGTTTTAGAGTTTGTCACTTGTACCTGTGTTGTTTAAGTTTTTGAAAACAATCATAAAAAAATAATAAAATGGTGTTGGGTGTAAACTGTAAGTGCAGACCCTTCCTCTCTTTCTTACCACCAAAATATATTTCTCGGAAAAAAATTGGAAAATGATGCACTCCTCGACACACTGGACGAACTGGCGAACATATTTTACACACAACCCTGTGTCTCAGTTAGGAACAGATTTATTTTATCTGATGGAATTCTAGAAGTAAACAATATGGCACCTACCTTGAAAATAAAAAGGGTGCCACTAGTAATAAGACATCTAAGTACTTCATTTGTTATTTTTCAGACAGTTAAAATTCAAAATATGGCAAAAAAAATCGAAATACGCACAATTTGTCAGGCACAAACAGAGTTCAATGAGGCAAATATTCTGTGAGCTGTTTTGACGGTTAAAAATTGCAGTTATATTCCAAAAATTACGATTGTTGAAATAACCAGGCCGACGCCGTGATAACACTGGAGACCTATCAACCGCGTTACACATCCCTTCTGAGTGATCACAGGGAAACGCCCAGTGTGCAATCAGCTTTTGACAACGACCACGTGATCGACTAACTGCACGTGCACTGCAGCACTGCCCGTGATGGACCCGCTCAACTAACGTCATGATGAATGGGACTATGGACGTCGTGCATGCTATGAGTCTGTGAAATGATTCAATCTGAAAAAAAAATCCAAATTTAAAACACACTTAAATCTAACCGCTTATAACTTTAAGCCAATGAGAGGACTGGTAACAGGTGTCTGCACTATATTAAGATTGCAAAGCAAAATGCGTGCCAAAACTAAGATGCAAGCGTGACAGTAATGATACCTGTACAGTAACGCTTTGCCTCTGTCGTTACCGATGGAAAGATATCCACTGTTTGGAGAAAAGTCGAATGCATTTACGTATCTGAGTGAAGTACGGGACGTGGGCCAGTTGGAGAAAACGGAAAGTGAAGGAAGATGAACCTGAAAAACAACAAAGAAAAGCAAAAAAAGTAACTGATAAAAATTTTCCGCCAACAGACTATCTTTTGGTTTTCATGCCTCAAAATGTTTCCAAGGATGCTGCACTGTGACGGAATCTGTGTTTTGAAATTTACGCTAAATTTTCAGTTAATTTATTAACTTTTTACGCCTTGTAAGATGAAGATTTCTAGAAATCTTTCCACCTTTTTAAATCTTGATCTCTTCCATACGTTTTTTTTTTTAATTCTATAACATACTTCTCTACGGCGTTATACGAAAAAGTAGTTACCATTTTAAACAAATCTTTTCTCGCTCTTGAAGACATCGCCAAGATCTCGCTGCGTATATAAAAGCAGGAAATGATTAATATAGTACATGAGGGAAAATATGAGTAAATTTGGTGAAAAAAAAAAGGTAGCATAGAGTGTTACTTTTTGACGGGAAGGGTCTGAAGTTCGAATTTTTTTTTGTGCCCTTTCCTGTCACAGGTGATTAATATGTTTCCTTAGAATTCAGATTGTCATTTCACTGCAAACTATTAAGTTGGAGTTTCTGCTCAGGACAAACAGATGCAATTCTTGATCAAAGTGGTTGAAATGCTGAAAACTTGCCTTGTAGAATTAAAAGCAACGTTGTTGATGCTTGTAGTCAAATTCATGATGGCCTTTAATGGCTTTGGTTGCGTCTGATCTAAACGTTGATTGTCATAGATGTTTACAACACCGCTATCAGATCTGCAATAGAAAAAAGTACAGGTTTGCCTTGCACCAATGCTGATCAGCAGCCAATTTGTTTTAAGCATATGCATATGCAATGGAGAAGGCCTTGACAAGGCTTGTACCCATGCCTCCCTGATAATCGTTGGGTGCTACTACCCACTAGACTACAAAGCCTTATGTTTTGGAACCAGGCAAATTCCTTTGAGTTCTTGGTTCCCCAAAGTGGAACTTAGTCTCAAATAGAACACAAAACAAATCATATAATATTTGACCTGTGATTAATATGCACACCCACCCGCAAGCTAAGTACTGTCCATCTCTGGATGCTGCCAGTGAGGTGGAGTTGAGACACCCTTCGTCTCTGAACTTATGCACACAGCTACGAGTGTTCATGTCCCAAATATACACTTCTCCATCATCTGTGCAAATGAATGAGAAGAAATCATCAGTTTAGGGAAATATGCATTATCACATACATGTAAATGTACATTGATGGAGACAATAACTACACGGGAACTACCTCCTGCTGTAAACATACGAGATCCATCAGCATTAAAAGCTACTGACTGCACTGAGCCATTCATCTTCAAGTTTCCAATCCACTGTTTTGTCTAAATAAAAAATGAAGCAAATTTTACAATGTAAACAGCAAGTAAGTCACCAATAAAGGAGTAATCAGATATGGCCTGAAGTTCTTTTCCACAGATTTTCCTAAAATTTACATAGTGATGCTTATAGTCCTACACCCCTAAATTCCAACAGATTTTAGTAAATAAATATGTAACTTGTCACAAATTCAAAAGCAAACAAGATACGAGAAAAAACAGTCTCATCAAAAGAAAATTATCTTCAACAAACCAAAAGCATATGTACAGGGGCTGAGGGAGGACATCCATCATATAATGGCAGTTTAAGCTTAGGTTTAAGTAATCACCGCAATAATGACAGGAACTCTTATGACAAATTTATTAATTTTTGGTAAAGTCTTTGTGATTGGTCACAGTGCCTTAGCCGACCTCATACATGTAGATTGATTGTACGGTAGGAGACTTACCTTGCTTGAAAGAAGAATTATGTAGCCATTGGTACCAAGAAAAATAAGATGTTTCCCATCTGGTGAAACATGAAATTTATCAAAATATCTCTCCTCTCTACCTGCAAAGAACAAATCATATACACAATAGGACCTTCCATTTATTACACAACATTTTCACAAAAAAAATTTTATACTTACTGATTAAAATCTCACCTGAATTTGACTTGATTTGTAGTTTCACAGTCTTAAAAAACTTTTTGAAATAAATACTAAGCCAATGGTTGTATATGACAAATCATCAATACCTCTTATTTCAGGAATTTTTATCACTTCTCCCTTGATCATGTCATAGACATAAAATGACCTTCTCTGTGAGGCCAAGATAACCTGTTCACCATCTGAACTGAAGTGAGCTGTGTGAATGGGAAACCTTTCAAGAAATACACTCTGAAGTTTTGGATTTGTCTGTCCATCTATCTGATGATGACATAAAAACATTGTATTATATGTGTGTGAGCAAAACTGTATACGTGTCTATACAAATGAAGTAAAACCTGATTAAACACTGTAAAAAAGAGTTTTTTTTTAATTTTTTTGCTTCATTTGGAAGAATGACTGGGAGAGGTGGATGTACAGAGGTCAACATTCCAACTCCAGTTAAGGGGTCCAACTCCAATTCAAGAACTCTCTCAGTGCCTCTGGAAAATTGCACAATTAAATTGTTGTCTGTTCAAGATAAAGAATCACTCCTGAAACTTTAGCTTTGAGCTGAAACTTTGTAAGTGAGTGGTTTGAATACCCAGCCAAAATAAATTTAATAACCTGACAGACAAAAATGAAATACAAAATTGTTTACCTGGAAAAGATCTAGTGTTTTGTTGAAGCCTGCAGTGAGAAGAACCTTGGCACTTGGGTGGAATTCCACACACTGTAAAGTTGCCTGTTAAGAGACAAAAGGGGCCTGATATGTTATACAGAAAATGCCACACTGTGTATGATGATCAGCATTTTAGGTTTGGTCCAGATTGCCTATCAGCATGTGGTGTTGGCTAGCTTAAGTAACAAGTTCTTGTCTTAAATCTGTATTAATTTTTTATTAGCTATCTGGATTAGTAAGTTTTTTTTAGCATTATAAAACCACAACAAACTCTGATTCTAAGGTGAAGGAAAGGGTAGCCAACAGTCTGTATATCTAATACACATACAATGAAATAAATATTGTGACACCTGACAACAAACAAAAATTAAACATCACATTAATACATCAATTCAACATCAAAGGTGCATTTGAATGTTTCATATTTCACTTACATTTGACGGTTTTTCAATATTTGCATCTTTGATTCTTTTGATGTCAAGAATACCATGGGGAAGATTATTTGCTTTTTTAGTCAGAAGATTTCCTGCTCGCTGTAGTATCAAGTCTTCCTCTTCATCTTCGCTAAGAGAATCTTTGATACAAAGTATAAAACAAAAAAATTAACCATTATCTTGTGGATAATCTCAAAACTCTATCAAAATAATAACACATCGTAAGAGCTCTTTCATAATACCTTTCCTCTTCTTTTTGTCCAGGTCTGCCCAACTTGCATCACCATATATTTTCTGAAACCTATGTTTGGAGTAAAACAGATGGTTGTCAAGTATTGAAACCTTTCAGCACTAACTTGTAGCTTCATTTAGTTAAAAAAAGAAAATTGTCACTCCTAACACTAGTAAGAGTATGGAGAATAAAAAATTGTGGATAGTTTAGACTATAAGTTAACTAGAAAACTCAGTTAACTAAAAAAAATCAACTTACTGTTGTTTCAGCTTTTGAGTATATTTTTTCCCTGTAATAACTGTCTCATCTTCGGTATCCCGTAACTTTTTTAAACGTGACATTGATGTGATCTCGATTCTACAAAACAATAAGCAATGATAAAATAAGCTACTGATGGTACACTCTATTGAACAACATTGAACCAATCTAAGGACCACATTTAGATATCTTGTGTCACTTCGCTGTACAAAGAATGCTTTTGAACATTATATGATCTTTTGTTTTCTTAAAATGTAGCCTTGTTTCGTTTTGATTGCCTGATTATAAAATATCCTTTTGGCCAGCCACACAAAGAGTTATTTCAGTTTAGTTTCCTTTATGTCATAGAAGTATATTAGGCCTTTTTTCACGCGAACATTTTAGTTTTAAGGAGTTGTCCCTGGAGCAAAGAGGAGTTTTATAAGAGTCTTTCAGAGTTTTTTTACAACTTGGAGTTCATTCCCGGAGCCAAGATCAGACGTAAGTCACAATCGTAAGTTGTGTTTTCTGTCGTCAGATTTGTAGTTTAGCTCGTTTCCTTAGCTTAGACAGATCGTGCATTCCTTTTAGTTTTCACTGCAAGTGTTGTAACAAGTCGGCTAGCCTGATTACATGATTTAGTCCAATAAACGTGTGTAAGAGTCTGCTGTCCATCCTGTACTCCACTGTGGTTGACCTGGCGGACCCAATTACACTGCACCCTGTGTCTGCCGTGCCGGGAACATGACATCTTGTATGTATTTTAAGCCAAGATTTAAAAGTTGAGGGAAATATTTTTATGGAGCAAGTACATAGCAAACAGGCCCCTTTCTCACTCAGTATGACTAGAATGGCCCAATGGCCTGTCAGTGAAAAGTATAGTTACATTACTCTGAATGCAATGTACTAAAAAACATGAAATACATGAATCCTTCTACTAAGTGTGAAAGAGAAAAGAGGTACTTTGTTCTCAAAGAATGAGCAAGGTCTACATTTTGATGGCTCAGTGACTCGTCAGCTTGTAAGTAAGACTTGATGCTTAAAGAACATGAAAGATAAACATTTTGATGGCTTGATAGCTCATTAGCTGCCCAGTAGTTGCATCCATTTGAATTTGATTAAATTCAGCCACCAAGCCATGCAATTCATTCAGTGAAGCACTTCCAAAAGTGGCCCTTTAATCAACAGTTATTGCCATTATTATTTAACATACTCCCTCAGTACCTCTCTTCATCATCAGCTTCATCTTCCCACACTGGCTTTCGCTCCTTGGTGATTTCTTTATCATTCTTTTTAGTAATATAGTGGAGTTCATTATCATCATCATCATCATCATCGTCATCGTCATCGTCATCGTCATCATCATCATCATCATCACTGTCACTGTCACTTTGATCTTCGTCATCGTCATCATCCTTGTTAATATAAGTGTTATTTTCAATACATGTACATTTGGTAGGTTGACAAGCACGTTCGTAAGGCATCCCAGCTCGTTAAACAAAGAGCAAACGTAAGATGCAGATTCTTTTACCGAGTGCCGCAAAGCTATATCATTGTCTAAAAAAATGTCCACTCAAGGCAAGCCTTTACGTGTCGATTTTCACATTTCTATAACGATAATCAGCATTGACACTTCTAGAGTGGGAATTTCAAGGTTATATATAACCTTTAATTTAATGTGTATGATACTGAGTAAGCCACATGCAACAATTGACATTAATAGCACATATCCACAATAAATAAGATGTTATTTTCACCTCGTCATTTGAACTAAAAGCAACTCGATCTTCGGCCAAGTCCTTCTCAATTTCTTTAATCACATCGCCTTCACCTCCAAACACTAGTCTTTCCAAAGTTCTCTCAGCTTCGTCATCTTCGGTCTCAGAAGCCAGGGTCTGTTTCTTTACTTTAAAAGGTGTCTTTTCAGAGCCTTTTTTCCCAAGGTGGCTTTGAACTTTTCTTTTTAGCATCTCAAAGTATGTTGTTACTAAAGAAAAACAGCTGAAAAATCAGGTTCAAAAGCCAAATTTTACACACGCGGAGTCAACGATCAGCGGTTTCTGTCAACTCGTTAATGGTGTGTTATATACAAATAATACTGTGTTTTCTCTCTTTCTATTCTTTCTTCTATTTCTTTCTTAAATCAAAAAATATTCTGACAGGATACTTAGAAAATAAAATTCAGAATTCAAAGCTTTTTTGGATAGCAACATTCATTTTTACCCTTCCTTTGGTATATTTTCCTATTCGTGCATGTTACATGATACTGTTGACACTTCTTCTGTGCAAATTTCTCCAAATTGATCATGGATTCCGGAGTCGACTTGGAAGCTTTTGAAGAGCTGGCGAGACTTACCGCAGACCTTGCGGTAGACAACTCAGAAGATGAGTTTGAGGATGAAGACATCGAAGAGACTCTTTTGTTGGAAGAACTTCCCACTAAAAAATTTCTGGAGCAATCAGTGTTAAAACAGCGCGAAGATAACATCTGTCCATTTGACATTCTTCCAGAGGAAATCATTCTCAGAATATTTTCATTCTTTACCCTTAGTGAATTGTGTAGACATGTGGCCCCAATTTGCAAAATGTGGCTACATTATTCCAGGTGTCCACTTTTACGACAGAAACTTTCATTCTGGGAAAGTAGCCGAGAAAGATCTCTTGAAGAGATTAACGACATTATCCAATCGAATTTTACTCTTCTCAGAGACCTCTGCCTTCAGCCGAGGATGGAATTGACGTTACACGGCTGTAGATTGTTGGCACAATCATGCCCTCATCTGCAGACACTTTCTTTGTCTTTTTGTAGTCAAGTCAACAAACCGATTATCGATCAATTTGTCACGTTTTGCCCAAAGTTACGTGACCTTAACCTAGCAGGATGTGGCGTGACTGATCAGTGTTTGGATGGCCTGAACAAGGTACCCCTGAGGAAATTCAACGCCTCTCATTGCACTAAGCTTACAGACGATGGACTTAAGTTTCTTTCAACAGAGTGCCATCAACTTTGTCACCTAAATTTTGATGGAATTCAGTGGATCACTCATGATGCAATTACAGTGCTGGTGGAAAATTGCTATAGACGTCTTGAGTATCTCTGGCTTGATGGCGAAAACATGACTGATTGTACTGTTCAACTAATTGGGAAATGCTACCATTTGAAGTAAGAGGACATTTTGAATATGTGATTGGAACAAGTTGACTGTGCTCTTAATTTAGGTAATAAAGTCCTTGTCTCAGCATCCAAACAGACCGGATATGAATGGAAGTCGTAATACTTGTCATCCTCACAAGCTTGGTGATCAACTGTTATTATGATTCAATTTGTTTCAACTATTTGATTATCTCAGATATTTTCCCTAGGTTAACTTAACAATGGCTTCACAATGACATTGAAGCATTGGTTACTTTCACTACTTTTACCCTATCGAGTGATTGATGCTAAACTCAATTTAACTCCTAGAAGTTATTGACATGAAACTTCTCCCTGTAATATTCATACATTATTCAGCAAACAGGAAATAAGAATATTCAAACTTATCAGGTAGAAGCTGCCATCCTTATTTAGCACCAAGCTTTCATAACTAATTCACAAGGAAATGTGTGGCAGTCAGAGAGGAAAATTAACAATAAGATCTTGGGAATTAAAGGGTTAAAAGAAGATTCGTATGAAGTTTTGTGGGAGAATCAGGGGCCTGACACAGTGAATGCACGGGACTCTTGATATTAGACCTGACCAGGTCATGTTGTTGTTCCTGGTCATGGAACTTTCCACTCACTGTGACTCTCTTTACTCAGGAATACAAACAGGTAGCAGTAATCTCTCCTCTCTCCCAAGAACCCGACGAAATGCTGGGGTCATCTGCAATGGTCTAGCCATTCATATGAAAGGAGGGGGGGGGGGGGAGGTTGGTGATATTCTTCATCACCTTATGCTATGGAGACCAAGTAAAGCCGCAATGTGTAGTGAGCTACCTGCCTCAAGTGCAGACTGGATACTAAGTTTTTAAGCTCAATGACACTGACTGTTTTTGATGAATTTTCAGATGTTTGGGTCTGTCGTTTTGTACCTCACTAACTGACCAATCGCTGGAATGTGTGCAGAACATGAAAAATCTTGCATCACTAACGTTGAAAAAAGGTACAGAGTTTTCTGCCAAAGCTTTAAAAGAACTTTTTGAACATCTTCATCCACAAAATTCAGGTAGTGCTACTGGCTTATTCCATGTCAATGTCGCAGAGTGTACAAACCTTAATGATGAAGCTGTAAGCTCGCTTGCTGAAAGGTAATGTAGAGTAGATTGTCATGGTGATTATAATTGTTAAATTTTGAAAAATTTTAGCTGTGACTTTAAATACATGTAAACTATATTTTACACTTAGGATTATTACTCTTTCAAAACATGAAGTACAACAAACTAATTTTTTTAATATAAGCCCTTGAAGCTTTAAAGTTTTTTTTTCAGTTATTAGCATTAATTTCTGTGGTACCTTGCTTTGAATAGTGATGTTGTTCAATCTCAATTCTGACACTTCCATCTGATTTTAACAAGTCTGTTTGAAACTGGACAGGTGCATCTGATTTTGGATGTTTTCATTTGATCTTTAAAAGGATAGCTTTGTTAAATTATTAAACTTATCAAAGGTCATAATTTTCTTTTAATATTTGGGCAGCCTAATCATGTCCTTTTATATTTTTCAAACAGCTGCAGAAATCTGCGAAGCATTGATATCTCCTGGTGTTGGGAAGTTACTGATGTTGGCCTTGCACATGTGATCAACAAATGTCACCAAATGATTGATATGAACATCTGTGGTGCTAAAGACTTTCGTGGAAATCCATTAAAGAAAATACCACAGCAAATGCCTAGATTAAGACGACTTGATGCATCACAATGCAATCTGGTGCCAGATGAATTATTGGATGAACTTGTGTCAATAATGCCACAAATGACTGTTATTAATTATTATGGCGAGGAAGTTCTTCCACCGAAATATATTAGTGAGACCCATATAGTTAAGGTTGGGACATGGTTTAAATGACAGCAATATTATGAGTAACCTCAGTTGATTATCTGGTTTCTAAGCTTTCAAAATACAACTTGGGAACAGGCTATCATACTGAAGGGTTCTTGTCTATTTGGTGTTGTTTGACTGTTTCTTATGGCAATTGAACAAGATCAGGTGTTGATTTTATGAACAGGTACTTGAGTTTTTGTGAAATGCTTGTTCTGTTCAGCAATCTTTGCTTTGAGATGGGAGCTTATCAGATCTATCTCATGGTTACCTTCCTCCTCCCCCACCCCTCAGTATTTCATTCAGTTTCCAAGTCAATTCACTGGTATTTGGAGAGAGGCAATGTGTCTATTGTAGCTTCTTACCCAAGAACACAACACAGTGACCTGGTTGGGTCTTGATCGTGGACCTTTCCATTAGAATGATGCAAAAAATGCAATATACATAAAAGGGTAAAGATTGAACCACAACAAACCTCTCCGAAAAAACTGAAAATGAAACTAACCCCTGAAGTTTGTGTGATACACTCAATTTTTATTGTCACTAACAGTTAACCACTAGATGACAGTGAAGCATTTTAAAAACTTTCAGAAGTTTCACATGTATGCTGCCATCAGCTTAATCACTTCTACCAGCATGGCTGTTTCTTTCCAGAAAGCCTGTGATCAGAGTTTTACACTCTGGGGGAGTATCCTGCCCAATGTAAAAAAAAAAAACAAAACAAAACAAGACAAAGAAAATTAAGGATAACTTGAAGGTTACCTAACCCCTTTCAAACTTAGGTGTGAAACTTAGTAATGTCTCCACACAATATCAATACATTGTTAACCAAGGGGGCACAGCACAACAGTTTCTCTAGAAACTTACCCCCTTCATAATGGATGACACACAGTCTGGGCTTTGTCTATTGCACTCAAGACTGACCTCACAAGGCCATGTAGTATCTCACTCATGATGAAATCTTTCATAAAATTTTAATAGCAACGCCGGAGAAGGAGGATTGTGATTTTTTTCTTGAGAATAGTTGGGTTTGAAGGCATAGAAACTTAGCTGTAGGCCCCACTTACCTTCTTATATGCTTCAAACGGTAGCATCACATCTCCCTGAAAGATGAAAATGTTTCCACAGTGATTCACCTTAGTAATAGTTTACTCAAACTACTGGAAGGTTTATTGTTAAGAAAATCAGTTATGCAAACCAAATGCTTTTGTTGGCTGGTTACGATGAACAGCTTGCAATGAAGCTGAGAATATTTGGAGGACTTTCTTTGACAACTTTTACGAATGGCTGAAACATCATCGGCTCGTTGTGTTCAAGTTTCTTATTATATAATTGGGGGAATGATGATCTATTGGCTGACAATGTGATCACGGTTACAAACTAGGCTGCTGGTTATTTTTAAAGCACTGTAACTCACTTTGCTGCCATGTGGATTTACTCTGTATATATAGCCTGTGGATTGGAGAAGAAAATATTCAGTGAGATGCCATCTATTACGGAACATTTACTTACATATGATGATTTAGGCATTATTAAAAAATAATCTAAAATAGCGTGAAAAACATTTATAGTATCCTTAACTAATTTGGTAAAGAAGACCCTCATTTGATGCCTATAAATCATCAATAAAAATTTTAACTTAAAAAGATCATTAAAGTTGCACACATTGACAACGTAGCTACCCGCGAAGTCAAATATTAGGAATCATTAAGTACTAGTGGTGTCTATGATGGGTTATCCTTGAGAAACACAGAAAGACCCAAGATTAACATTGCTTCTTAAAAATGTTCGACAGTGTCCCACTAGGCAAGCTCTTTTTAATTTATTTTTCGTTAATGTGACTTGGATATTCTCTCGGCATGATGTTTACGTGACGTTTTTTGAGGTGATAGATTAGCCTGTTCCGCCTTTCGTCATCGTTGGGTGTATGTTGTAAAAAGCACAAGGAAGCCTGCTTGATGTTACCGCGATAAGTCAGATTGGCTGCCATTTTCTCCGCCCTCTCCACTTTCTTTTCCTCTGGAGGGTCACCTGTGAATCAGTTAGCCGGATTCAGGCTATATATGTTGGACATTGACATTTTTACATCAAATGCTTGTAAAAAGATGGATGCGGCTGAGGTTGTTTTAAGGGAGCTACAAAAGAACCTTCTTCTTGTGAAGTTTGTAATGGTTTCTTTGCAGCGATGGAAACTCAGTTCTTCATCGCTTAGTTTTTAAAGTATGCTGGTTTTAAAAAAACAAACACACTAGAGGGGCTTGACATATTTCTACTTATGGTGAATATTGATTTTTTAGTTAAGTATAAAAGCATTGTCAAACTAGTGAGGTTCACGACGTTGTGAAAATCCCAATCTAACAGGATTCTTTATCGTTGCCAGTTTACGACTGCATTGCAAGCACGTTATAATTTTAACTGGCATCCGGTACAATTAAACTGACATAGAAACTTTTTAACCAACCTTTTGTATCTATTTCGCCATCAGCAAGCTCTTTTCCAGCCGTAACAATCTCATTGTTAAACTGGATATTTTCTCGTGCGTGTTTAGCGAACTTTTGTGCCGCAGGTGTTAAAAACCTCCTACAAACTGTGGTCCAAAAAAACTTACACAGTTAAAAGATTTAAACCTCCCCTAATTTGAAAATTAAATAAAAGAATAATTTTGTGCTTTAAAAAAATTAAAATAATTCGTGATGTGTTATTTTCCACCTTAAGTAAAAGGAATATATCTGGAATATTTATTTCTGTCGCGATAAAAAAGATAATGTTCAAATTATTCAGGTAGAGCACCGACCCGCAAATTTTGAATAAAAGATCAAGCAGTCCTCCCAGAGAAAAATTGGAAGACCAAACTCGACCTGAAGTAAAGAGTTTTACACTGGCACCTCGTATCTGTACACCCACCTCCCATCAGAAATATCAACTGCTTAATGGCGGATAATCATAGTACCTTTTGCCTCTTGAACCAACTTCATCAATTCATTTTTACAAGCTGTAGAAAACAAACAAATAGAAAAACAAAGAAGATAAACATAAAACCTTACTTTACACTGGAGAAGAGGGAACAGTTGTGTGCTGTACCCAGTCCATCACGATGACGACATTTTGCCTTTAATCAGCACAAATTCCCAATTTAGTCCTCCAATTCTGGTTAAAAAAATAATACTCTTCATTCCTGAGAGTTGTACCCGTGACCTCAAATTGATGTGAAATTACTATTTAAAAAGAGTTTTTATATTTTGTTTGTGTAAGCATCTGTATAACTTACACACCAACCCGTAGTGTGCAATGTAATGAATTAGATAACAGAAAACCATCCTGTCTTTCACTTTATGTAAAAAAGGCAAACATAATCGTGCATGCAGCTTGAGACGAAGCCTGAACAACAGACAGTCCTGATTTTGGTTTTACCGTTTACTTTCCTTTTTCTCGTTCTTTTTAGGTGCTGTAAAACAACAACTTCCTCGAAAACTACCAACCAAAAAACTCAATCGTGAGAGCAAAGTAATCCGTGGACTTAATATGGCGTTGCGGCTTAAATGTGCTCAAACGTGTCTGAGCTTTTTGTAGCTTGGATTAGTTTCAAAATTGTGAAAGATATTGTATTTAATATTTCACCTGCCCAAGGAGCATAGGAACGCAAAGCATGAGAAGCCGGCATGTTTTTACCTGGTTCCTCTTGTGGTATTTCCTGTCTCTCGTTGATATATGTATCCAGATCTGCTGTCCAAAAAAATGACATAAAAAAACTTAAGGAAATTAAAGTACCTTAAATACGCAGTTGTAAACTGAAAACTTCGGTAGCATTTGTAATAAATGCAATTGATGGCCTGGAAAAGTATCTTCTTAAGTTACAATATAACTTCCAACTGACTCTCCTTTGTTTTATGTCCCTGACCTAAACATGAAAAATAAATTTTCTTTAACTGCATGGCTGCCTGGTATTTTAAAGTCTTAGGTAATTTTGTGTCGCCCGCACCCCAATACTTAAATTTTTCCTTTCGTATAATATCATAAACGCTTCCCTAATAAAGTTATTTGGCCACTTTTATCCATTTCGAGTCATCTTTGCTATGACTAGCAAATTGTGCACTCGACAAGTCTTTCTGAGATAAGCCCCTTGATTCCAAGACTGGAATTTCAGCTTTTTGAGCGAGACTCATGAAAATGTACTGGTGTAGATGATGTCAAACGTGGTTTGAGTAGAGAAAATCTTCACTGACGTGACTGTCTATTGTCTAACTGCCTTTTGCCTTCATAGCTACAAGTATCATGGTAAGAATTTACACCTTCATACCCGCTGGAGCAGATTGGACTGTAAGAGAAACTGTCAACAGAACTACGGCAAAGATGGCTGCCCCCATGATAATCTTTGGACAATTCCTAAGTTGACATGAAATATTTTAGTTCAAGTAAGCCCGGTTCGTACCTGGAAAAGTCTATGTCCAGTGTGGGTGAGTGGGTAGGTCAGTGAATCGACAGGCTGGAATACGTGTACGTTTTACACTTACAATAAATTCAAGAAGATAAATCAGGTATTTGCTGTTTTGTTTAAAGGAGGTGTCGCACTCTTCTGAAATTCTTCAACTGAAACTTTGAAGTAGTGACCATTTGTCCATTTTTTTTACCCGAAATTGTCACCTACCCCGAATTTTATTAGTCGTAAATTTCTTTCCAATACTGACCTTTGTTGTAGTAAAAGAGAGAAGGTTTCCTTCTTCACTCGATCGATTTGTAATGATATGACTCCTGCAAGAGGTTTAAAAATGTCTTATAGTATTGTCCTGCATAAAAATCTACTAGGGGAGGAAATTGGAGACGAAACAATAAAAATATATATTTATAATTCTTTGTGCCGATTAGCTATCGTGGTGGAGGTCTTTTTCACAAAAGAACTTGACGCTATAACAGGCTTATTAATTGTTGAATAGAGATCGATGAGGGAGGTTTCAATCTTATCAGTTTTAGCGTGGGACCAGAATCTTTGAAAACTTTATGTAGCAGACAGTATTTGCACTACAAAGTTATTTTTTTATTAGACCTAAAACAGCATGTTACCCTCTATGAACAATTACTTAATTTGTGGCCAATAAAAATAGTGAATGAAATACGAAAAACCTTAGCAGGGTTCTTTGCGAATGTGAGATTAATTTTCTATGCCATAAGGATAAACCAGTTCTGATACATCTATTGCTGGCTGGCAGCTGGCAGTTGTAGAAAGCAAAGATTAGGTAACATTATGATATTAGATGAATGTTCTGTTCCCTCGAAGGATGATGAAAAACAGTGATGTTGATTTGCTCGAAAGAAAGGTAAGAAAGAAAATAAAGAGACTCTTGAATGTTTTAAAATGGTTTTAAATCCAAATTTACCATCGCCGAGGTAAAATTGACAATTTTTACACTGGGCTAACACAATAGCACCCTTGGAAAAAGATGGTGCATCAGCCTCCTCCAGTTATGGGATTTTCTCAGCAACAGGAACAACAACAAAAAAAGCAACACGAGGTTGATGAATTGCACCGTATGTTACTTTCAATCTCTGCTGAATTGAATGATAGTCTACGGGAGAGAGAGAGAACGAAATGAAATGCTCATCGGACCTCAGTAAGGACACTTGAGTACGGCTCAGCGTGGGATCTCGTTTCTTTTCTAATCACAAACTTTTCAAAGCTATCGATGGTCAAAATAAAGAGATCGCTCTTCGGCCGTTATTTTTGGAAAACGAAAGAAAAAAAATGGCGACCGAAACTGTACCATAAGATGAGTTACCTCTCCTGCAGGGAGGAGTTTCAGTTTTGCCTCAATTGCATGGTTAACAATGAATAAACACTTTTAAGGTGAAAGTAGTTTTGCTTGTCATTCATTTGTGCAAAGGCTTAGAAAGTTTTCAGATAGACGAAAGTCCTTGACTCAGTTCGAGTGACTTGATTTTCCAGGCTTCAAATAAAGTACCCTCACGTTTGTGACAGACTTGAAACTTGTTTGCATGGCTGATCTGACTGACTACGAAGGATTGAAAAATTCTTATTTTCAAAAATGGAGGCAATTGACGAGAGGGGCTCTTCGTTAAACGTCACGGAAACCGAAATTAGGCATATGCTGCATTGTGACGATAAGACGAAAAGATAAAGTTCACAAAGATCTCTGCTTTATTTTTGCTTTTGATAACATAATTCTATGCTACAAAAGATGTGCACTACATTAGTTCATCGTTAACAGCAATTCAGCCATTATCTATGTTCCATTATTTCCTTCCTTTATTGAATCCTTTGAAGCCTTTGAATCCTGTAAGATGAAGAAAAAGTCCAGGCAATCTTTATTTTCCACATGATGCTTAAGTGCAGCTTCCCTCAAAAACCACATCAGAATTTTTCTTTGTCGATCTAAAGGGAAGCTCTGAGTTATCGGGGGTTCTAGCCATCGGGGGAGTCGATTGTAGCGGATAAGCCGGGGAATATTAATCTTGTTATATATTGTTATAACTTCTCTGTATTTACATTTAGGAGCTGACCGTGTTGGATTATGAACTTACCTTGATAGGTCGGCATATTTGTTTTCTTTCTCCACATGCATGGAATTCCAGTCATTAATGGCTCCCCCTGAAACAACTCATCGATAATAACATTCAAACTCAGTTTACCGACACTTTGAAAATTTCTAAATTTCAACGACAACGACGATACAAAGTGCAATCTCCTTGGAAGGGAAATACTTTAGGATGCCGTCTATTATTAATTCTGGGCAGTATAAATTTTTGAGCCTAAGAACAACATTAAAAGTGCCTCAGAGTCGGACGTTTGTTACGGTACATACAACTACAGATTGAAAAATAAGTGATTTTAAATCGATCAATCAATTCACTCTACATTTTTGTTAATTTCTCGACTTGAGAGCTGTGCTTGTCATAACTAATGTACACAACTTACAAACCGGAAGTCCTTGACACAGAATGTTTTACCGTTGACTTAAAAGTACTGAGTGAATAATAGGCAATGAATAAATAAAATCTCATTTACTTCCTGATGTCTTGTGGTTTGCAAGCAGTCCTCTGCCCAAATCGTGGTCACGAACTGAAGAATAACATAACGTCATGAGCATGAACTGTTGAGGTTCAGAATTTAATACAAGAGACGAATGATGATTTTGATAAAAGTTCCATTCACACCTTTCTTAAAAGTATCCTCGAAAGCTGCAACGAGATAAAAACAGATATTAATCACTTAAGTGATCACTGTTTTTCACAGAGCCTATAATTTATCATTCAACTACTGGTTCACATCTGATATCGCTTTAGTATAAGTGTGTGCCTCTCTTGAAACATTGTTTCACGATAAAAATTAACTTTTAGGTCTGTGCAAGACCTCCATAGACCTAGTGAGGCACGATCAGCCAACTCACAATGGACTGAAATTGCATTAAGCACAAAGCAGACGGACTTAGTATGACTGAAGATGCCAGACAACTCCACAAGGACCATATTATAATTGATTTAACGCCAATCAGAAGAGAGTGGAGTAAGGACATTCAAGTCATGATTGAAATCGGTTCAGGGAGAAATGAACTGGTGTAACAAGATGGATAAACAAAGCACGTACGAACTGCAAAGGAGTGCATTTTAACCAGGAAACTAAGCTAACAAAGTAAAAGGAACTCACCATCGACGACTTCCTCGGTGTCACCTGCGTCCTTCACCAAGTCTGAAAAAAACACATACACGATTTTCCATAGGATTTATAAGTAGCCAAGACCGAGAGTGTACCTGAATACTCTGCTGTGATTAATTGTATATTTGGACAAACTGATCTAAACTGCTCTCAGACATTGACTCGTCAAACCTGCCAACAACTGAACTGACAAAAAAAACCCTAAACTGGTTAATTTCATAACCAAAATCTTTTTCGTCGTATAATCATCGAGCTACGGAACGAAAGATAAATCCTTGCAAGTGAATCCTGAAAACTGGTAGAACGTTCTTAAAATGTGGTTTACTATTTCACGTTTGCCGCAAATGAATTTACTCTTCCTACCTTGTTTAATCAACTCTTCCACATCATCATCTGGTGAAATAATTCAGATAAAACAAAAGCTAGTCAAGTTACAGTCACCAAATCCATCATAGAAAGGTGGAACAAAATAGATAGTTTTTGGAAACGTCAAGTTGTGTTTTCCTTGCTTATTATTCTTGATAACTAAGGACCACACCCCTCCCCCTCCGCACCGTTGAAGAGGAAGTTTACACACTTACCAGATAACTCTGACGTAAAGACCTTTGCCACTGAGAAATGTAAAGATCAGGAACGAAGTGTTAGAGTATCACATTGCAATGTTAGTTTTTTTGCGGGTCTGTTAAGTGCTTGCAGGACATTAGGACAGAAATAACTCTGCTTTCAGATGGGCTTTTACATGGTCTTACAGCCGGGAAACAACAAATTTTAGCCGGCAAACAACAAATGTGATCTGCTCTCCTGTATGTTTAAAAAACTCAGTAAAGACATGCTTTAAAGTATCCGCAAGAACTATTTGATTCTCGAAGAAAAAACATATCAGATTCTATGTGAGAAATTGAGCCAACAACATAAGATCTGCAACTTGCAGTTTGAGACGAACTCAGCGTTTGACCTTTCTGCGAGCGGGATCAACTAAAACATATTTTTTTGCCGTGAGTTTACAATCATTCACAAACAAAAAGGTGTCTACTCACAAATGGCGTCGTGGAACGGATAAGAAACTAAAAAGAAATAGAATATTTATCAGTTATCATGAGTCATGAATTTAAGAGTTTTAATCTCCACAAATCCTAACGGTTGAAATATGAGATTCTATAAGATCAAGTCTTAGATATTTTCTTTACACTTAAAACGATTACCAATAGGAAAAATGAACATTTCTACTTACAGCAGGAGTCAGCTGAGGAAACTAGAAAAAAAAAGGAAAAATCGTTCTTGTTAAATGGTTTATCTTGGAAGTTTATCCTCAAATGATGTCTTGAAATGTCGAGGGAAAAGCCGAGCACAGGAAAGCCGATTTACGTGAATGAAAGATGTGTTTTGATGTCGTTTCATCCATCAACAAGAAAAGAAGGGAGAAATTTGGGAAACTTTAAGTTTTCTTCTAAGAATCGTTTTACCGAGTTACTTTGCAGAGCCAAACGTTGTAAAAAGGCTAACTTTGTTAATGATATGGCAATAAAAACGATCAGCGAGGAACGACAAACCTGAACAAACAGCAGCGATGTTTAAAGCAAAAATCCCCAAGAAAACCTTCAAATTCATCATCCTCATTTACAGCAATCGAAGACTGAGATTTCCAAGAAAAGTTGAGTAGAGAATCTTATCGTTGAAAGTAAACTAATCAAATATGAAAATTCATATAAGTGAAAGAGATGCGAGCAATAGAAGGCAATTGTTAGTATTACGGCTTTTGTCAGCAGATCTCAGGGTATCGTAGGGTCTTCCAGGAGTTGGAAAACTTTTGTTTCAGTTGTCAATTTCGCATTTACTTTGGTACGAAACAAAGAGTTTTCTAATCTCTTGTTTAAAGGAGCTTTTAGCCGTTCGCGTGAATTTGATTAATTCCGTTCGAAACAAAAAATTTGTTGGTAACTCCAACGAGGTTATGTTCCTAATAATTTAACCATGATTTGATACCTAATCATTAATCAAAACTTAAAACAAGCTGAAGAAAAAAGCCTATTTTAAAAATTTTAATTACCCTTTGCCTTGGAGGCAAATCATGAATTTATTCTTACTCCCTCTGTGTGTGTTGACAAGATACAATTTATTCCTTTGGAAATCACTGCATTCATAAAGATAAATAGTAATATTAACGATTAGAGACAATTGCGATTAGACCCAACGGAGGTCTATACCAACGGATTGCATTGTGACTCTGAATCACTTAGAGAAACAAAACTGTTTTGCAGTTGAGGATTCTGTTTTCATCATGTTAATGAGTGCTGAGATTAGTATCTAATTGAAAAACAAAAATGAACGAAACATACTTTTCACACCAACGTCGAGACCCACGGTTTTAAAGAACGCTTAATTGCTTTTGTTTTTGTTTTCTTTAACAGGTGATGCAATCAGCAGAAATAGAATTAAGGAATAATAGAGAGGGGCTGGAGAAGAGCGCGGGGGAAGGGGGGGAGGGGGGCAAAACTTGACAAAAACAGTTTTACGAATTGCAAAAACAGACCTTACAAAATCTGCAATTCAATTTTTGAAGTGATTTCAATTTTTAAATCTGTTTCGCAGTGATTTGAATTATTCAAGCACCGCTTCGTATATCATTCGTTCGATTTTAGACACTACTCTCCGATTTTAGACGCCCTTGTTCGGTTTTAGACTCTGCTGTCCCAATGCAGATGCTGTTGTCCGATTTGAAAGACTTATCAAAAACGAAGCTTTAGGCATTCAAGACTCTTGATTCCTCCAGGATAGCACGCACATAGAATCAATCCTACGAACGGTTAGTCCAGACCGCTCGTTCGTCATAGGAGTTGTACCACGTGTACTCCAAGGGGCAGAAGAGTTTCCTATACGTCATGGAAGGAAATTCATAATTTACGTTTGGTTGAGTAGAGCGAATTAGAACGTAAGTTCAAAATTATGGCATCAGAATGCTCCGATATTCCTTTTACAGTCCACCCTATACAGGTTAACCCCTAAATACAGGTTCCACAGAATAGAGGTGATACAGAAAACGATTAACAACGCCATTTTGTGCCATAATTTACCGCTTGATATACAAAGAATCGCTCAAAAAATACTATTAACATTGAGTCCGGGGGAGAAATATGGATTAAATTTTATTTGAAAGATTATTCTTAGTTTTATTTGAGCAGTTTCGCATTAAGTAAAGGTTCAATACAGGCGAAAGACAACACAAGGCGACCACGACCGCTTGATAGAGGTGAAAATTACAGTGAGAAAGGGGAAACAAATCCCGTACTTTGCAGCCAACTGACTGCTAAATACAGGGTGACCGCTTAATACGGTGCCGCTTAATTCAGGTTCGACTGTGCGTGATTACTCCTAAAAATTTTCAGACGTTTCTACAGTTACCGTCTCCATTACAAAAGAAAATGTACAATTGAAAATGATGTCATACGTTTCACACCCAGTCATGGCCTACGCCCGGTGACGGTAGTGACAAAACATACTAGTTCGAGTTGTGAGGGAATATTTTTATAGTTGAACGCCGACAGGTAAAATTTCTTAGAGTCGATGTAAATCAGTTGATAAAAAGTAAAGAGGAAAATTATTTGAAGAACTGTTTGTTAGCGTTACGTTTTTGTTGGTATAGGCGTCTATTCTGACGTCAGAAGTGGGATTCTTTTAAAGATGCCAGCTACGTCACAGGATGAATAAATAAAACCAAGATTTTACCTCTCCGATATCTAACGTGTTCAACACGCAAACCTTTGTCATCTCGTCGATCAGATACGCTGATTCAGAATCGTAATGGTGACTAGCTGTGTATCTTGCCTGGCTACAACCAGTCCCATATCTAACTCTGAGTTTGACTTCAGATTTATTTCTTGCGCTTCGAGACAGCCCCGTATCATTTTTGCTCCGTTTACTGGCGATCGAGTCCGTGGCGTTGTTTACTGTTTCCGTTGCTCCAAACCTCGTTGCATTTACGCACCAAAACAGCTATCGACACGAGAGAGAACTCTCCTGGATGAAATCGCAACCAACAGTGTATTTTCTTGCGGTACACCACTGTTACCCCTTCTTCATCCGCTTGAAGACCGAATTTTTATGAAAACGCTTCGTTCCTGTGATGAACCGGTAGAAATGACATTCTACTCTAGTAATCTGGACTCCATAAAAACCTGTTGCTATTGTGGCAGTACAGACAATCCATTTTCTGAAACTGAAAAAGATCAAGATGCGATTCGGCGGCATCGTGCGGTGAATGTTCCATTATGTATGCAGTGCAAGCTGGCCGGTCGGGAAGAAAGGTCTCTGTTACCTGTCAAGAGAACAGTTCAAGACGAACCATGCGAATGAGGAGTAAAGAAATTGACGTGGAGTGTGCTTAAAAGCTGAAGGAGTACCCACAGTTTATCTTTTAACGTTGCCATTATACCAGTGTATATTCATTGCACTCACACGACGCTTTCGAGCCATGGAGATGTCAAGGCTGTCTTCAATTTATTATTGTGATTCCATCAATACGTATAGCTCTGAATTCGTATCGAGTTTCATGGTTTTAGATAGTTTTCTTTATGATGGGGTGATATTGCAGCCAAGAAAAAAAAAACTTTTGAGTCATAGGACCGAAATATTTACATCGTTACGCCACAAGTGAGCTACTGTTTAGGCCATTTCGGAAATAGACTTTTGATTGATGGCAACGGCGATTTACCTCAACAATCAATGCTTGCAAAATTTTTTTTTAAATACCTCACCCGAAAAAAAGAGGAAGAACAATAGAAAACGTTAGCGATTTCACAATAATTTTTAATTTTATTTTTTAAGTTCCACAGAGTATGGAAAAATTAAAATGGTTTTTAGCTTTATCATAATATTTACAAACATAGCTCTGTTAAAAAAGTTCTACTTGTAAAGAGTCCTGGCTAAGGACTACAGTTCATTACAATGAAATTCAAATGTTCTTACGTAAGTAGTAAAATTATAATGTTGTTTGACTGGCTAATTTCAACGAAAACAAAATGAATAAAACATTAACACAAAAACTTTGAAGAACAAATGTTTGTCTTCACAGTATAACGATAAAATAATCTGCATGGTGATCATCCTTCCGTCCACGACGAAACGAACTAAATTATTGAACAAAATGTCCCCCTCCATTAATCGACGCGTGGCCGACTGTTGGTCTATAGAGATAACCGTTCGGGCTTTTTCTTGACATTTAGTTCAATAAGAAAAAGTAAATTGTAAATGGAATTTAGCAACGTTGTTTAACTCGCCTTACTTTCCAAAGTAAACGCCGCTTACAATTAGCATATTACGACGGAGAGAAAACCAAACATTGTTTGTAAAACGCCTTGAAGATCAATATAAAATGAGAGATAACCATATGCCTGATAAAAATATACTTTGCTGCTATTAAGGGTAACCTGGTAAACGAAGCGTCTCTCAGTGCTAATGCGTTAATTATTCATATTTAAACTTTAAAAAAATAATAAAATGAAATAGATTAAAATAGTTTTCACTGACATTGACATCTTTAAAAAGGTCTCTAAAACTAGTCTGAGTCTACACCTCGGTACATCTTTCACCTACGAAAAAAGATAAATGCCAGATCAGGAAATATTTGCAGATGATGAACTAGAGATACAAACATCAGAATAGTCGTGGGTTCTTTTTTTTTTTTGTTGTCGTCCAATAGATCGATGCATCAACACGATAAATTAAAGGCCACTGAAACTGGAACCCGACAGTTAAATCACTGGCTTGTATAAGAAGGCCCGATAGGGTGATCAGATTAAAATAATAAGGTGGCTTTAAGATGGATTTACACGGGGAAGAGAAGTCAAGAACAGCCCTTTTGATGCCCCAAAAATTGTTTTCGTTTCATAATTTTTAAGGAGTTTCTGAGTTCTCTAAACAATCACCAAAACAAAGGGCACACTCATGGGCATTTCACCTGGGTTCACTTTGAGCGTATGTCTGATGTTTCACGACGGTCGCACCTAAAATGGGGGATTTGGAAAGTGTCTGCGGTCTAACGGGACATATCATATGTCACTTACCTTCATCCGTTATGTAACATCTCTCGCAATGTAACATGGAGTTGGTGATATGAAGGACTGGACTGTACTCGTCACCAAACCACGCTCTGCACACCACACAGCTAAAACAGTTAACATGCCAGTATCGGTCCAATTCTGCTATGTACATCGATGGACTTTTCTCAATTGAGGTGCCACAACTGGCACATATCACGTGATTGCTTTCGCCATGAATGAATGTCTCGTATATACTATAACCTTCAAAACCGTTTACTTCTGGAGCTGCGTCGGAATTTCCCGGGATGTTATCTTGGTAATACTGGTCTCCATTTTCTCTCAGCAGTTTTGCGGGCGTCTTGTGGTGAACATCACTTTCTAAATGTCCGTTAGTGGGAAGCACCTCTGCTTGTGGTTTTGAGATGTAATCTGAATAATGTCTTTCATTCTCTTCGTGTTCCAGTTGTTTACGAAGCGTGTATTCCTCGTCATTGTGGTATCCGTTTCTTAGGACAGACGTTTCTGTATTCGGTCCACTGTAATTGCTATTTTCATCATAAAAGTGTTTGTTGTGTTTTTCTTCAGTTGGGAGGTCAGCAAACATTTCCTCATTGACTGAGAATTCTACGGAAGGCTTCTCCACCGGCGTAATGATGGGTTCTTCGGCTTGTGCTTGTTGTCTCAAAGCAGCTCTCTCTCTCATCTGCCTTTCAGCCTCTTGAGCCA